TGCCACATCTGCCATACATACATACCTACATACATGCACATACACACAGACTGGGCCCTGGCCGAGTGCATGCATTGGCTGCCGTCCCTAGCTGAATGCCTCTAGCTACACGCTAGTTGACGAGCAGCAAGAGACTGACAACCACACTAGATCTGTGCTTCGCGCAAAAGAGAGTAGCCGTCCGGTATCACCATAAGACGTGCTCGTTAGCAGTCGCCAACGCGACCTGAGTATAAAAGACTCGAAAATGTACATGATCAGCACCGCGGCATATTGAATTGACTTTGAGCTTTTCAAGGTTCGTCGGAGCCACCAGCTGGATCTGGCTTCGGTCCGTAGGGAGGAGTCAGGACGAGGATGACGATGGGGTATGTTGGCTGAATCCGTCGGTCCTGGCCAAGTCGACGTTGCAACCCTGACAGTTCCACCGAAGTGACCGGGGTATTGATTACCAACAAGAAACCTTTTAGCCCTCGACTAGCGAAAGAGACGATTGTAAAAAGACGAAAAGAGGGGAAGACCAAAAAGCCAAGGAAAACGTGCTATGTACAAGCCCGGTTAGACGGGGGTGCGCAGAGCAAACGCTTGATGACCGGCCTACCTTGTTGCAGACACGCCTTTGGCGAGAAAGGAAACGGTCTATTTCCATATTAACACTTCATTGGGCGCTTGAACCAAACCCCAACCGCCCTCTTGTCATAATGAATAACCTGGCAATCATCACCAATCGCCAGCTCCACACCGATTAGCTGTAGCAACAACAATCAAGCCACCACGAAACTATACGACGTCGAAGTCGGCTTAATTCGAGATTTGTTTCCCGAGCCTGACTATAGGTGATAAGTAGGTATGGCTAATTAATATAAGGGGTGAAGAGAATCTTCTCCACGCTACGTAAAATAGGCCGATATCGATGCGGAGATAAGTGGTGATGCGGAGCACCGGGTCAAGGAATAGGGCCACGCCAAGCCGACCAGCCGTCGAGACTTTGAGAATGGCCGAGCAATTCTTCTCGTCTTACGAAAGTCACTCCTCGGCTTTTCACGTTTAAGGAGCAACGGCAGGCAAGTTGGTTCAAGCCACAAAGTCCGACAAAACCACGAAGCCCCTACACGGTAGAGGGCTGGAGAAGGCTGGGCTAGGTCTGAACAACCAACAATCGACTTCTGTGATGGTCTCGAAAGTAAAACGCACAAAGGGAGGGTTCCGCGTCTTACTCGGAATTACATAAGATGAGCAGTAGTATGGAGAGCGTGATATGTATTCGCGCAAAGCCTGCGTACCTACGTGATGAAAGCCACACCAAGCAACCGACGTCTCAGACGGTCGAGTACATCATATATTAAACCGGTACTTTTGTGTCACGGTGCCATAGCACATATTGCTCGGACTTGGGAGGTTGTGGAAGGGAATTGTCTTTGAAGAGATAGGACCGTTGTTCTTCGCGCCCGTCCGGACGACGATCTATACCCTTTTCTCCATACAAAGACATCTTGTTGGAGCCACTCCTAATATAGTCTGTTAACACGCCTCGTAAGTAACGCCAATTTGCACTGTCCAGACTGTCCTAGATTCGTCCACCTTTGGACCTTAGATATTATTTAGGTCTGAAAAATAACTTTACCGGCAGGTTCATTATATGGATTTAGCAGAGAACTCGTGTTTGAAACGTTAAGGCTTTTACCCATTTAAATAAATCGATGGAAAGTCAAGTAAGAAAGTTCCAGCCCAGCCTTTTCCTGACCGACTAGAATGATATTTCCCCACGTACCTATCTAAGTAAGCAAATATAGGATGTTACATGTAAAAATAGCGACTTGGTAACGTTTGCTAGGTAGTTGGAAAGCTTTACAAACCCGTCCTTGAATACACGGCCCGAAATGTTTTAAACAACTATAACTTTGATGTTATAGTATACGTAGTTATGATACATACCTACAGAATGCTTGAAGGCATCGAGCTTTCTATTTTTTTCTTCTATTTGTCGGCTGTTATCCATCCTAGTGTGAGAAGATGGGGCTCTTGGCAACTTAAGTAAATTATACTCTTCTCGGTATATCTTGTGTCCTTGCATTGCGAGGATTATATTGTGGGGTCGTTCGTGGCCTTAGAGGCAGGGCTTTTATGTGTTTTTTGAATTCTTTAGTCTAGCTGGCCTAGGTAGTGGGCTGTAAGTGATCTTTGGAAGGAAAGTCTTGAAAGCTTCGATATAGCACCACAACACCATGGGCCGCGATATGTACTTTGCTCGTTTCGGGATGGGAATTGTCCAATAACTAATACCCTCCTCCACCATTTGTGCATCTAGAGCTTCGATTTGTCATTCTAGCCATCGTATAGAGGTGCCCCGGTTATTCGGCCTTGCCTTTATTGTTATCGTGTATCATAACCTCTTCATGGTAGACATACGTTGATGGATCAGAACGGGTCAATTCTCGATGGAGATGACAGATGGCAGACAGGCAAGGCTTTGTACATACATTTTGGAAAGAATAGAGAGATCTTACTTACCTTGTTTGGTCTGATTCGACTGCCATTTTTAGTTTTGTACTGTGCATCTTATCTATGTCCGCTCCTGAATTCAGGGGACAGGCACGGCAACTTTAAGCCCGGGGTTGAAAAGAAAAGAAAAATGGAAAAGAAGACATGAAAAAAACCTCACTAGGCAATTTCGATAATGTACTCGATGGATAAGTTTGAACAATTGTATTGCTTCATTCATAATATGTTATTCAATCAATATATTAATTCTGACATATGAATAGTGATAGACTCGACCAACATTTCTAATAGTCATAAGCTGATACTACCTTTCACGTAGCCCGCTGGACATGTTGAGTTGAAGTGAAAGTAATCCTGTCTCCAAACTTGGAAGCTTTCTTTGTATGTACGTACATAACTACTATGTAAGGTTAGGTTCTCTTCACAGTTGATGAGTCTGTGTCTATACTGTGCGTACGATTTTACGATTTTACAAGACTAGCCCCTCACCCCCGGTAGACACACAACCCTGATGATTACACGCCACCGAGAGGAGCCACACTGGGGATAGAGCGCTGGTGCTAGTTGTACAACCCTAGGCCGCCAAAGGCAAGACCGCATGCTACATCCAGGTAGGCACGGTCGGGGTACGTACCTCCCCAGGACCTTGCTGCTTGCAAATTGCAACCAAGTGCAAGGAACATTGAAAGTCAGAACACCCAGAGAGAGGAGAGGAAAAAAAAAAAGAATACCCCGACCACCAACCTCGCCAGTCGCCAGTTCCCTTATCCACTATTCAATCCTTCCTTCCCCCTCCACACACCCCCGGCTCAACAACAAACCCCAGTAGGCGCACCACACCCGGACCCGTCTAGTGCTAGCGGCTTTCGCTGCTACTAATCCCTACCCCCTACCGCCTACCTTCTTCGTACCCAGTCTAAGCGTCTACATACAGTTCAAGGTACAGTAGTTCACAGTCCACAATCCACATCCTAAAAAGCAGCAGCAACCTACAATTTTCTGAACCTGGCCCTCCTGGCCTTGCCCTGCCCGCCTGCCCGCTTGCACCACTTCTAGTTAACCCCTGCCTCCCCTGCTACCTGCTACCTGCTACCCTTGCTAACTTACACCTACCTTACTAGTTAGCGTCTAGTCCCGTCTGCAAGTCTGTGTCCCGTCCTTTCTTACCTTGACCTCTCTTAACTTTTCGTACCTCCACTATCTATCTACCTTCCTGCCTCCTCACCACCACACTACCATTGCGAGAGGACAAAAAAACCTTGGGATTTTCTTTTCCCTTTCTCCCTCTCTATCTTTTCTTCTCTTCTCTCTTTTGGTGTGCCGAACCGACCTCCCCTAATTTTTGAGCAGCGAAGGCCATTGAGGTTTGGAGAGAAGGTAGAAGGTAAGCGTTCATCCTATTCCCAATTCCTACTTGCGCAAACTCTGCCCACCTCCACTTTCTTTCCTGCCTTGCATTACGCCCTGCGCATCTGGGACCTGATGTTCCTGCATTAGAGTTGAGAGACAGCCTCGCCCAAAGGGAGGATTGAAGAAGAAGAAAAAAAGAACTGAAAAAGAGGAGAGGAAGCTTGAAAATTTCTTGTTCGGAAAGAGAATAAACCTCGATGTGTGCTTGTGGTTGTGTGTGTCCGTTCGTGTGCGAGAGAACCTCAATCTGTCCAAACGACCAACGACGACGACATCTTGCCGCCTGCTGTCCTATCCCCTCTCCTTCCCACCTTCTCTTTCACACACTCCACCACGCCAACACCAGCCTATGACTTTCGAAATTCCGCGGATTCAGTCCCAAAAATTCTCTAGCATACATCATCCCAGAAAGATTACTCTTGAGCCTGACTTAATTCTTTAGACCGCACGGGAAAAGAATACCATCATTGACCAATTCACCAGAGCTTTACGACCTGTTACGATCACGCTGTACGAAAAGACCGTTCTGCCGAGGAGACACATCCACCGTGTCTTTTTCCCCGCAAGTGCAGAGCTAGAACTTGTCGAATTCTTCGTACGCGCTTATCAACTGTGACACCCGCCAGACCAGTCTCTGATCACATTGATTGGCTTGTCGACGAGTCAATTGACCCGTCCGCTTCGTCTTGTCGTGGTTCTTTTGTCATCTGGAGGGAAAAAAACTTGGAGCCCAATCGTGGTGTTGGTCTCCTTTGCTCAAAAATAAGTCGTATCCAGTCGGCTTCTATTTGACTTTCATCCCATTTAGCCCGTCGTGGCTTTATCATTGAGCGTCGTAAAACTGGATCTACCGCCGATTTCACAGCCGCAAACCCGGGGAACGTCCGACGTACCACCATACTACGGTGCTCACCTTCCCCAGCGCACGCCGTATGTAAGTGAGAGGTTGCCTTCGCTTCCCCTGCCGCAGGCGCCATTGGCATACTCCTCGAGTACATCGTCTCCCCGGGTTAGCTCTATTGCATCTTCGGCGAGCTCCAACGGAGACTCGCAGTCCTCTTTCACCTCAGCTCCCTCGTCAAACGGACCTAAGACGCCGTCCCCAAGTCTACCAGTGACAACGGCGATATCTGGGCCTCCTTCCCAGGCGATTGGTGGGTACGATCAATATTCCGCGATGAATCCGGCGCCTCCAGACATGTACTATCAGCCTCCTCATATGTCCGCTGGTCCAGCACCGCAACCCCAAACTGTGACATCAAATGCCTTACCCCAGTACGGTCACCAACAGCCAACGCTATTACAACCGGGACCAGCACAGTACTCTGCTCCTCCGTATCAGTATGGCTATACGAATGGGTTGACATCCCCTCAGTCCGCGCCCCCGGTCTCTGGCTCCATGGGTGCCCAAAATGTTCTGCCTCTTCCAGGAGTGGCAAACCAAGGGGGCATGCAGAACCAGTACCAAGGCTTTGACACGACAGGCCAAGTTGCGCCGCCGGGCATGAAACCCCGAGTCACTGCCACGCTTTGGGAAGATGAAGGTAGTTTGTGCTTCCAAGTCGAGGCACGGGGGATTTGTGTTGCGCGTCGAGAAGGTAGGAATGCGGCAATATATACTAGTGGAATTCGAGGAATGAGCTTACAATTTTGCCAGACAACCACATGATAAACGGAACGAAGCTGCTCAATGTTGCTGGCATGACCCGCGGTAGGAGAGACGGGATTTTGAAAAGTGAAAAAGTGCGCCATGTCGTAAAGATTGGCCCAATGCATCTTAAGGGTGTTTGGTAAGCTTCAAATATGATCCGCAGCGCAGGATAATGATGAATTAACGTCTCGTCAGGATTCCGTTCGAAAGAGCCCTGGATTTTGCCAATAAAGAAAAGATCACCGAGTTGTTATATCCTCTGTTCGTTCATAACATTGGGGCTTTATTATACCACCCCACAAACCAGAACCGGACGAACCAAGTGATGGCTGCGGCCGAACGGCGAAAACAAGAGCAGAATCAGATGCGCAATGGGCCCGGCCCTACACCTCCAGGAGGTGTCTTACCGTCAATACAGCAGCACCATCATCATATGGGACTCCCTGGACCGCAACCTTCGCTTCCGTCGCACAACAATGCGGGTCGACCTTCCCTTGATAGGGCCCACACGTTCCCAACGCCGCCCACCAGCGCGTCGAGTGTAATGGGAAGCATGGGTGCTTCTGAAAACTTCCAATGGGGTCAACAAGGGATGAGCGGTGCTCAGGGTACTAATCCTATGTCTATTGATACAGGTCTTAGCAATGCAGCACGCTCAATGCCAGCAACGCCAGCGACCACACCACCTGGCACTACTTTGCAGAGCATGCAGCCCTATTCTCAAGCCAGCCAGCCGTACGATAGTTCTCGTGCTGTGTACAATGGCCAAGCTCCCCAGCAGTCTCCTTACCCCCCTTCGAACAGTAGTCCGCAAGATAGGAACATCTACGGCCAGACAAGTTCCTACCTTAAAAGTGAGATGGGACCTCCATCCGGGAGACCAACTGGCACAGGACCAAGTGAGCCTCCCGACGTGAAGCCATCAAACGGAATGCTGCAACATAGCGACGGTGTGCCTCACCCCTCCGGCGAGGACGAAGCCGAGCATGAAGCCGAATATACACACGATAGCGGGGCCTATGACGCCAACAGAACGTCGTATAGTTATAATGCACCGCCCGTCACCGCATTGCCGGGTGACCATCAACATATGCCCCCGGACATGACGGGCTCACCAAATCATCAAGCTGGGTCGGGCCGTGCAACGCCTAGGACCGCTGCACCGCCGCAACCTTATTATACCCAACAAGCAGGGTACAGTACGCCACCACGTGTACCACCTTCCAGTAACCTTTATAATGTAATGAGTGGCGACCGGGCGTCCACAAATGGTGGCCCGGCGCCAGATGTTTATAGCTCTCAGGGTGATATGGGCGCCCCGATGCAGAACGGGTATGCTGCTCAGTCAGTCATGAACGGTGCACCTGGTACCTTGAAGCGAGGCCGTGACGATGAGGACGACCTACCTCGCCCGTCGAGCGGTGGACTAGACTTGAAGCGCCGGAAAACCATGGTCGACGGACCCATGCCTGCTCCAGGATACGACGCAATGAACCGTCCGGCCTCCGCAGTAGCTCGCAGGCGATAACGCCGATCTGATTGTTCGGTAGGCTGTTGATGAATACTTCTACGCATTAATTTCGGTGTTTGGGCACTTGTGCGAAACCTTGATTCTACGAGGACGAATCACTTTCGCGCTATAGAATTCGACGCCGACTACGAGATACACACACACACTCCTTTGTTTACTATTCCCTTCCGAATCATTTGTATTCGCCGCGACGATTCATCATCGGCATGTTTGGGCCCATCCACCAGAAGATACGATGACGAAAATTACGACTTCATTCTTGATTGTTATTAACTGCCGCAGAAGGCCGTGTAAATGCTTCACGAATTGACGCGTCGCATGGTGGACCTTAATTTTCTTGAGATGATCATCGATTGCTTTTTTTTATTTTTAACTTTTACGCTGAGGACAACGAGATACTCGAGCAACGCAAAAAATTCCCGCCTATCACGACTTCTAGGCGAGTAATGTTCATGACCGAGGCTGCTTTTTGTTTTACTTTGTTCATCACATCCATCAGTCTCGTAGAGAAGGCGAGGCTGGTAGCACAATTATTTTCCTATTTACGACATGATGACGACCCGATTTTCTTCTATTCACCAAAAGGATGTGGTGTCTACTGTGGGCGTGTGTTGGAAATGTCTCTTCTGGTATCATTGGTCATGAACTCGATGATGGAATTAAAAGCTATTGCCTGATACACAGCGAACTTAGATTCTAAGCTACCTACATACAACTGTCCCAGCCAATCGTATCACATATTGGGCTGTAAAGAAATTGAGCGGAATTTTTGTGACAGCGTTCCCGGGAATTATTACGTTACCAATGCAACGGGATCGTCCTTGTCAGATCTATACCCAGCTCGCCCTTTCGAATCCATACTGATTGCCCAACTAAGCCCCACATCCCACATCGCCAGTTCATATACGTCGTGGTTCAAATGAACCACCGGTCTGGTTTGGTTTCTCGTGCAGCGCCGCGGCTCAGATGCTGAGACCACCCATCTAGTCCGTGCTCGTACAGAACCCCGTGTAACACAGCAATTACTCCCTCAACTGTTACAAGGCATTGCTGCGTCCACTCATCCTTTCGCGTCCATCGTACGGGGGTTGGGAAATCCGACTTCGTGAAACCGCTCATGATCAAGCTCCCTTGCCAAGGCGATGCCGTGATGTCTGGGAGAACTGTCCACTTCAACTACGGTAGCTCACGATCCCGGCACTATTGGAGAGATAGAGGAAGATAGGCATTAGTGATACATCGATTGGGAGCAGGCTATGGACATGAAACGTTTTTTTCTGCTGGTAAAGGTGGTCTGTGGTACTGCAACGCAGCGGCCCGTATTTCATGTATAACCTCCATGGTTGGTGCTTAGCCCGTGGCGATGTCGAGAGGGCTAGTAACTGACGAGTCCCCCTTGCTGGGTTGGTAGATTAGGTAGCTACCGCTTTTTACCTATGCTTTTTTCTCTTTGTAGGTGGGTGTTTCAAAAGGCGCGAATATCACTGTAAATATATACATTTCAGGTGGCTTGGTCCCTAAAAATATATGAAATGATTTCCAGCTATTAGATGACAACTGGGTTGTGGAAAGGAAAAAAAGCACGTCTCGGTATCCTAACTTCTCGAGTCCTATGTACTAAACGTAAATGGTGAGCTTGTGCCTAAGTCTGAGAGGAGTGTATAAGGTCTACTTTGTACACCAAGATATCTTGATGATACACAAGATATAGTAGCTTTTCGCTACTTTGCCCGACTGACCGCTTCATCTTCTAGCTACTCGGTAATACGTGATTACTCATGGCGATCTTTGTCACGCAGTACAGATAGGTCTGTTACACACTTAAGAGTCAGGTAACCGTGCAGCTTGGGGTTGCGAGGGAAATTTATCATGTAACTATGAACTCATATGGCATGAGAAGAAAGGAGACATGATGCTTTTGAACATAAAAAGACGTTTCCGCCAACCCAGGATATTCGAGAACTTCCACACTTCCGTGTGACACTATGTAATACAATGCATCTTAGCGCTACATACGACTTAGAGAACGAAATTAGTCTTGAATCGAGCAGACAGTCGGGGAACTGATAGGTACTGAGCGTATGATAGGAACGAAAGAAAGAAAGTCTTACCGCAACTGCGTTTCACAAATCAGCGTCTAGAACACTATGCTTATAATACGGAGGAGAGTGTGTATATGCTTACATAATGAACCCGAAGGGAATAAGCCACGTTGATGAACATATTATTAAACACTCGCGACAGGTTAAGTGCTCGTATGCCGCGACCGAGGAGTTGGTGCCGTCGTATCCAGTCAAATTCCAGAACAAGGTGCCCTCGGCGCCGCTCCCCTCCGGAAACGTGTAATTTCCAATGGAGTTTGTGGAGAAGAGCTCGGGGTGGCGCTGTAGCTTCTCGATGTCGATGCCCACTTCATTCTTGAAGTATTCGTTGGTCAGGTTCGGATTGATGGTGAGGGTGCCGCTGAAGCCGTCATCGGCATCCTCGGGCTGGAAAGTACGGGATACGACGTTAACCCTCGACATGAGGCCTGCGTCGCCGACGGACGAGCCGACCATGACGATGCTACTAGCAAAAAGGAGGAAAGAGCGAAGAGAACGCATTGTACTAGGAAATGCCGATTCTTTCGTGTTCATCCAACGTATTGAGGAATTGTTGACTCTGCCATGACTAAAGAATGGAACGCGATGGCATGATGTCTTTATAGGTCGACAACGTGGTGAGCCTTTCGCCAGGACATTGTAGTAATGTAGTCATCCCCCCTACGATGGAGAAATGAGTTAGTAAGTTCTCGATATTGAAATTGATGCATTTGTGTGCAACTAGAATTGATAGGACGTCGAGCTGATAATTTCTGACAAGGCAGAGTCACATACCTTTTACCTCTACCATCACCTTGCAAGAACATGTGAAAATATTGGATATGGGAAGAAATCAAGAAAAGGGAGCAAACGCAAGATTAAGATAGACACCTAGCTGGGTACGTAAGAAAAGAAAATCCTCATGTGTTTACCTTTCTGTTAGTCATGACTTGCTTTGTCCCTTTTCTTACTGCAAGTGTCGGTGTCTCTAAAGAGGACATGCATTCCTGATATGTTTGCTGAGCACGAAGATGCGGTTTGTCATAAGCATATTGTATCCACCGACGCGTTTGCTCTCGTATCAGAAGCTGAAGTAAAAGGTGATGAAGATATTGGTCGATCCTATTACTTAGGTAGCTATGGTGCGAATGCCGCATTGGTTTGCAAATCTAAGGGGGGCAATGGCAATGAACACCCATGTCAGATTTGGATGAGGTCACCCCTTTTATACTAATATTTTCCTAGGGTGACCGCAAACATCGGCTTTCAGATTTACTGATGGAACCTATTCTGTGAGTCTGAGCAGCATCGGGAGCCGACTGAAGGCGTTATCTTCATAAGCAGGTAAACACGCAGGTATAAAGCATAAAATTGGGACACAACACGTACGTAACTTAGTGCAACGAAGAGAGACACATGTGAGAACTGCGTAGGTCAATTCGTGTCGAGAGCGTGGTAGCTCTAATATGGATCCGAAAGTTGATCCGTGGGTATTGAAGAAGCATGGCCGATAATCCTGCAGCTGAGCGAGTTAACCGAAAAGCAAAGTCCGTCCATAATCACCGTATCCATCCAATCCAGCAAAATGTAGTAGAACAACCACACACCACCACCCTACTAGGTACCTGCCTTCGACCGGGTTTCAACCCTCCTTTTACCCACTACCAGAGGGAGGTGTGATGTCAGGATAATGATAGCTGCTCGAAAACTCGCCAGGGCGAAAGCTAGTAAGTTTGTTTCCGTGACGGACGAACCCCTAATCCGCCTCTTCATCCTCATCCTCGTCCTCATCTTCGTCACTAGTGGCCTCGATATTAGCTTTCGCTTTCTTCTTTGACTTGGCCGCCTTCTCTGACTTGGTCTTCTCGGGCTTGGTCTCTGCTGGCTCGTCCGGCTCATCTGCAGCAGGCACACTCGGGAGAGCTGGCGTCTCGTGTCCCTTCTCCCGCAATTCAGCATTGATGGAAGGCATAGCCTCAAGCAGCTTGTCGTATTGTTCGAGAGACATCATGATACCCTAGGAGCGGCGGATAATTAGATGACGAAGACGGAAATGTATCTTCTCTCAGTCGTGTAGCTTACCTTCTTTCCTGGCTTGAGGCTACCAGAAGCATCCGTGTAGTACTCTCGGATGTTGATGAACGTCTTTCCCTTGAACTCGCTAATAGTGACTCTGCGGGTACCGCCCAGCTTCAAGGAAATATGTTAGTGTTATACAGAAGAGTCAGACTAACACAATACTTACACTCCAAAAAGAATTGCCATCGTCATCTTTGCCGGAGTCGCCGCTCGTCTTGGCCTTCTTGCTGGATTTCTTGCTTGACTTGACTTCCTGATCGCTTGCTACGTCTTCGTCTTCGTCGTCGTCGCGTCGCGATCGCTTGAGGTTCTTGAAACGACCCATTGTGACGACTGTGGTAAGCTTCCTCGCCGGATGCGAATGACAGGAATGGCGTTTGCAGATCGAACGTCGGAAAGCGGGTACAGGAAGGAACTTAATTGAGAGAAGAAGTAAATAGGATTGAAGGTGTTTATCTATTTACTGATAGGTATTTAGGGCTAATAGGTAACAAAGGAACCTTGGAAGTGTTAATTCGGAGGAAAGAACCAAGAATGTGGGGTCTTAGATGACATGTCGCGTTCAGTGCTTTGAGAGACGCGCCTTCTCGCTGAATCAATGACCTCAGATAGATTGATATCGTCGATGGATGCTCTGTAGCAGCACTAGACTGTTTGTGGCTTAGTGTGTTGGCCAATCAAGAAAGGCCCCGATAGGATAGGGGAACATCAGGTTAGGCGTACGGAGTGCCGGGATGCCAAGATACGCGAACGTACAGGTACAAATACAGCCGCATATCTTGTAATATACTAATATCGCTTACAAGTAGCCAGTACCTAGGCACATGTCCAGGAGTACTACAGTAGACCCGCCGGACCCCTGGACTACATGAACTTGTTTCCAAAATTATCAACCACGAATGTCGTCGAGTTCGAAATCCAAGATATTACCATCCAGCCATCGTATACGCAGAACACGTTAGTCCACCTCCTATGCTGCAATACGGGCTACCAGGCCACGTCGTTTCTAGATTGACTACCTACTTTATTTATGTGTATGCTCCCTTTAATTGATCCTCCTCGACTTTAAACCATTCCGTATAAATGCGATGCGCCCACTACTATCACATCCTAGACTCTAACTAGCTCTTAATAATTCCCAACGAGTGAGTCCAGATGAATACCGTTGACCATGCGCAACTCGGCGCATCTCCTATTATCGTATCAGAAGATAATTCACAACGAGACTCGGCCGAACCCAAAACCAGATCTAACGACAATCTCCAAAGCTATCCGACTAATCCGACGAATCCGAAGACACGAGACATAGATGCATCGTCGTCGTCGTTACCGCCATCGAGTACTCAGCAAGATATTGTGACCAAATTATTACAGTTTCTGTCCACAGCAACCCCTGGAACTATTGCTGCCATTACAACTGGACTTGCTGCGATAACATACTTTATCCTCGGTCAGATTGGTCTTCTGTTAATTGGGGCTGTCGCTGGTATAACGCTATTTGCGACATGGGAATCTCAGCACCCAGAAGTGTCACGAGCAATACGGGGTGAAAGGGGCTACGATATCTTAGACCGCATCTTGGAATCCACGCACACAAAGTCGGTCATCCAGGCCGAACAAAATGACGAGCAGAATGAGCAAGCCCTGTCTGGAGCCTTTGATGACTTTCAACCAGAGACGCGACAGGCACTGAATGCTTTTGTCGATGCGGTCATCCGCGATTATGTCGATTGGTGGTACGGCCCGATCGTGCCATCAGACAAGTCATTCCCTCTCTCCTGTAGAAAGGTATTGGTCAAGTTCGTATTATCTATATCGAACCAATTGAGCCGCAAGCGCCCCGCTGATGCCTTCGTCGACTTTCTCACACACTCGTGCTCTATCATCATCGTTTTCTTATCTGAAATGGCATCTGCTTACTCAGAACTCCCTTCCGATACGAATTTGACGGCGGCAGATGCTATATATAACTACCTTGCCTCAAATACCGAAGCCCCATTATCAAACTTGCTCAACCAGAGACAACAAGCAGGGAAATTCAAGATTGTTGCCGAGGACTTACTCGGTTACCTGGATAGGTCTGCGTATGACTGTGATCCCGCTAGGGTCTTTTTAAGAGAGATACTCGCTAGTGTCGTTCTTGAGGGTACATTGCAAACATGTTCCAAGGCGGAATGGATAAATGCTTGGATAGTGTATCTTCTCGAGTCCGGGGAGACAGACTTGTCGCAAGCTATCGACGATGCAATCCAAGATCAGAAGGCCTTTGGCGATGTTGACGGTAATGTTGGGAACATCGGACTCTCCAGGGGCAACCGTAACTCCTACGAAATGGATCGGGCTCGTCGCAAAGAGTCCACCCATAAGAAGCAGTTGTCTAAGGCCGACGAAGAGATGGAGAGGGCTATGGAAGAGATGAAGAGACTCAATGAGATGATTGCCGAAGCCGATAAAGTGAAAGGAGCACCGAATGGGAATTCCGCAGAGAAGAATGCTAAGGACCTTGGTTCGAAGATCGGTGAGAAGCCGAGTAGATCTTCCTTGGAGAAATCTAAGGAATCCGATTCAGATTCTAGAGTTGGATTGAAAGGGCCAGCATCGAGCAAAACCGGAGACAAGGAGAAATTGCTCAAGTCTCCTATCTCTCCTAGGTCACCCATGGATAACTCCAGCCATAGTTCATCGCCGGCCAACGGAGAAAGGGGACAGCCTCATCGTCGTTTTACAAGTTTTGATCAAATAGTTCCTCCGGCAAGGGAAGAACCCGAAGAAGGCGAATCACGCAACCCTCCGCCTCTGACACTTCACAATGCCACAGTTACAATTCACGACGACGCGGGCAATGACAAGGGTCAACTTCGTTCCAAGCCATCCTGGGAGTACCTCCTCCAGATTGAGCCTGCAACTTCACACTACCCCGGATGGATGGTTATGAAAACATATACCCAATTTGAGGGCCTTCACGAGAGTTTGAGACGAATTGCGACGATCTCAGGCTCGACAGCTTTCCTCGAAGCTTTCGCTGCATTCCCGAGTTGGAAAGTCCACACAAGATCATCATTGCGTGGCGAGATGGAAAGATACATGCGGACAGCTTGTGCTGAGAAGGCGCTGGCTGAGTCCGAAGCCTTCAAGCGTTTCCTTGACAAGGGCCAAGAAACCCGAGTGGCTAATAAAGGTTTTTTCTTCGAGTCAGTAGGGAAAGGCATGCTTGATGTCATCCAGAACGCACCCAAGGGTGCTTTGGACAGTGGAAAGGTTCTTGCTGGTGGAGTTACCGGTGTTTTCGGCAACATCGGTCTGGGGCCGAGGAAGTCAACCAATTCTTCCTTGAACGAGCATCAGACCAAAGATACTGTTAAAACACAAAGCCCCACCAGCAGCCGTCCGTTGTCGATGTCATCTCTTCCGAGGATGGATAGTACCTCATCGGTGAATGGATCGGGAAAATCCAGAGACAGTATGGACAGCCAGAGATCGTCCGTGATTTCGGTTCAGCCGGGGAAAATAGCTCCTATGGAACGGCGTCCTAGTGTCCAGGTAGACGTGGATCAAGACAGTCTTCACCCAGCAAGGGCTGACCGCTGGGAGCGGAGTCCAATTAGTGCAACAAGTAGCAGAGTACATAGCCGCGCCTCGAGCACTGCTGCGCTACGCTCTCCCCTACGATCCCCGTCTGAACTAAGTTTCACAAACATCAAGTTACCGCCTCCACCAGATGAGATCACAGATGACTACGGCTCACCTTCAAGCACGCGTCTAAGCGTTGACGGGAATTCAAGGCTTACCTCTGCTCCATACAGCACCCCGCCGACTCGATCGATCGTTTCAAGTCTGCAAGAAAAACCAACACCGGGTAGTGGACATGGAAAAAAACCGGGTAGGCAATACGCGCCGCTCTCGGAGCAGGAGACTCGTGTAGCTGTGGAACTCCTTTTCGCTGTGATCAACGAACTCTACACCCTATCATCGGCCTGGAACATTCGGAGGACGCTTTTGACAGCGGCAAAATCCTTCCTTCTACGACCGGGCAATCCTTCGCTTATATCCATTCAATCCCTAGTTCAGGAGTCGGTCCTTGAGGCAAACACGTCGGATACTGGCATCGCTACGCATTTGCGCAAACTAAGGGAAAATTCTTTGCCTACAGAGGATGAGCTCAAGGGTTGGCCGAAGGAAATGACCGCCGAAGAGAAGGAGGAGTTAAGGGTTAAAGCAAGGAAACTATTCATACAAAGCGTAGTCCCGGCCGCATTGATGGGGATCATGGGGCAGTCGGCCACAAGTGAGGCACTTGGCCGCATCTTCGACTGCCTCCAGATTGAAGAGGTCTCCAGAGGCCTCTTCTTCGGGATCATGTTGCAAGCAGTGCGAGTTGTTACACACTAGGATTGATTGTTACGGGCGTTATACAAGCAAGCAGGCGTATACTAAGAGGAGAACAAGGGTATCGGAAGCGGATGCTGGGATGTTTGTGCGGCTTAAGTACATTCTCCTCTTACCGCGACGATTGATGCATCTCAAGATGTATGAATATTATACGACAGGCTGTACGAATACTATGCGAGGAAAGGGACAGGAACATTCCAAGGAGGCTTCGGGAGTCGACGGGTTACCAATTCCAATTCCTCGCGAAGTTAACAAAATACATACTAATTAATCTATACAAGAACGAACATAAGCATATCCCGGGCGGGCTTTGATGACTTTTTTTTTTTATACTATGGTTTTTATGTAATTATTACCTACAGTAAAGCAGCTCGTGGGATTTAGAGTATTCTCATAGCTACGTCGGAATGCGTGTAAGATGCTGTCAACGATCACCGGATAGTCGCCATTCCTACCTGTCGTGCTTGTCACCCTATCGCCGGCGAGTATAAATCCAAGAACCCACTGCGGGGTAGGCGATTAAGCTAAAGACGTATAGATCTGTACTCCTTTGTGTTCGCTTGGGGGTGGGGTGAAGTGAGTCATTCCGACGTATCCAGAATTAATTTTCGTATCAAGGCCTATCGATTCCGGCACGCGGACACCGGCGAGCATCGCTCCAAACGACCAGGTTAGACTCGGAGCTCCGTATACGTCTTTACCTAGGTACCTAAGTACGCATTTGGAGAGGGAAAAAAAATAGCTACGATATCGATATCAATCTTTATAAACTTCGAACCTACCTAGTATATTGGATTGAAAATGCGCAACTATAACCATAACGCCACAGGAGACCAAAGCACATACATATAAACAGATCCAATCTCTTGGTTACAAAGCATCATTTCTCACACAACTTACTTCCTCTAGCTTGAGTACCGTTGTACGATTTATAAGATGGGTTCTACAGATCACAAAGACCGCGGTGTCCGTATCGCGATTGATCGCGGCGGTACTTTTACGGACTGTGTTGGCACTCTGAACGGAAAGAATGTTGTGATTAAGCTCCTCTCTGAGGATCCGGCTAATTATGACGATGCGCCGCTAGAAGGCATCCGGCGTATCATGAGTCACTTTGAAAGACGAGAAATTCCTCGAGGCGAAGCTCTAGACACCTCCAAGATCGATAGCATACGCATGGGCACCACGGTGGCAACCAATGCCCTGCTAGAACGTAAGGGCGAGAAGATGGCAATGGTCGTGACCAAGGGCTTTCGGGACTGCCTCGTGATCGGCAACCAGAGCCGTCCCAAGATCTTCGACCTCGCTATTAAGAAACCGGACGTCCTATACGAGGACGTTGTCGAGGTAGACGAGAGAGTCACGCTTGAGGACTACGCCGAGGATCCGGAGCGGAGGTTAAGCAAAACCGACGCGAAGGTTGGAACGGCGGAAGGGGCAAAGGCAGATCTCGTGATGGGTCTCTCGGGAGAGGCAGTGCGTATCTTACAACGACCAGAAGAAGAGAGGATCAGGGACCAGTTGAAGAGCATATTTGATAAAGGTATCAGAAGTATAGCCGTGTGTCTTATGCACGGCTACACATTTCCAGACCATGAGGCGTTGGTGGGCAAGATTGCGAGGGAAATCGGCTTCGACCATATTTCACTTAGCCATGAGCTCATGCCTATGATTAAACTGGTCTCGCGCGCGACAAGTGTTTGCGCTGATGCGTACCTAACCCCAGCAATCAAAAAGTACATTGCTGGATTTCAGAAGGGATTCGCCGGAGGTCTGGGAACGAGGAGCGTGCTCCAGCAAGAGGGTAGCAAAGGCGCACGATGCGAGTTCATGCAGAGTGATGGTGGATTAGTGGACGTCGACAAGTTCACCGGATTAAAGGCTATCCTGTCTGGTCCTGCAGGTGGAGTGGTGGGCTATGCCATCACGAGCTACGATGAAGAGACCAAAATTCCAGTCATTGGATTTGACATGGGCGGCACCAGCACTGACGTCTCGAGATACGGAGAGGGCCGATACGAGCACGTTTTTGAGACGACAACAGCGGGCGTTACGATCCAATCCCCTCAACTAGATATTAACACCGTTGCTGCCGGAGGCGGGAGCCGGCTCTTTTTTAAAAACGGTCTTTTTGTTGTCGGACCGGAGTCAGTAGGAGCCCATCCCGGCCCTGCCTGCTACCGCAAAGGAGGACCTGCTGCGGTGACGGACGCAAACTTGTTCCTAGGTCGTTTACTGCCAGAATTCTTCCCAAAAATATTCGGAAAGAACGAGGACGAGGGCTTGGATTTCGAAGCGAGCAAGAAAGTAATTCAAGAGCTGACCGATCAGGTCAATAAAGAAACCGGGAAGAATATGACTTTGGACGAAGTAGCCTACGGTTTCTTGACGATAGCCAATGAGGCCATGACGAGGCCGATCCGGTCAATCACCGAAGCAAAGGGACATGATTCCTCAAAACACCGACTGGCAACGTTTGGTGGCGCTGGCGGTCAACATGCCGTCGCGATTGCAGAGGCTCTAGGTATCAAGCAGATCCTGGTCCATAGATATTCTTCAGTTCTATCGGCGTACGGCATGGCATTAGCAGACGTCGTGGATGAGAGACAAGAACCGGACTCGGCAGTGTGGAAAGACACTGGTGAGGTAATCAGTGGACTGAAAGCAAAGATGGAAAGGCTGAGAGAAAAGTCACGCTTAGCCCTGCTGGACCAAGGTTTCGAAGATAGCGAGATTGTTTTCGAAGAGTACCTAAACATGAGATATCGTGGTACAGAATCGGCTCTCATGATCATCAAGCCTAACGAAGAGGAGGCAAAGGCATCTTACAATGGCGAGGATTGGGCATTCGACAAGGCCTTCGTAAACAACCACCGTTACGAATTCGGATTTACTCTCGACGATAGAGATATAATCGTGGACGATGTACGAGTTCGTGGTATAGGAAGGAGTTTTAGATACCAAGATAAAACCGTGGATCAACAGCTGAAGGAAGTCAAACGGCAAGCGGTCGGTGACAACAAAGCACATGGCAAATCCCAAGTCTATTTCGAGGGTGGTCGATTAGAAACGCCCATCTATAAGCTCGAGGACTTATCAGTCGGCGACGAAATTAACGGACCTGCTATGTTAGCAGACGGCACACAGACCATCGTGGTGACCCCAAAGGCGAAGGCGCTAATTCTCGAGACACATGTTGTTATTGACCTAGAGAAGGATAACAAGGATGAGTGAGTTTATTATATATATCCACTTCCATCAATGAGGACCAAGCTAATGTGCAAACAGCTCGCATAAAAATGAGTCGTCTGAACGAGAAGCTGACCCTATCATGTTGAGTATATTCGGCCACCGGTTTATGGCTATTGCGGAACAGATGGGCAGGGCGCTCCAAAAGACGAGCGTGAGCACCAACGTCAAAGAACGCCTCGACTTTTCGTGTGCTATATTCGATTCAACCGGTGGGCTTGTAGCAAATGCTCCTCACTTACCGGTCCATCTAGGGTCTATGTCGACCTGTGTCAGGACGCAGGCAAAGATCTGGGAAGGCAAGTTGAAAAAGGGAGATGTGATAATATCGAATCATCCGTCATTCGGTGGCACTCACCTGCCAGATATCACCCTTATCATGCCTGCATTTGACGAGAAGGGAGAGAAAATACTGTTCTACGCGGCATCGCGTGCACACCACGCAGACATTGGTGGAATCACAGCGGGTAGCATGCCACCGCATTCGAGAGAACTGTTTGAAGAAGGTGCATCTATTAAGAGTGAAAAGATCGTGAGCGAAGGCAAATTCGACGAGAAGAGAATCACGGAGCTTCTCTACACTGAACCGGCACAATACCCCGGTTGCAGTGGCACTCGATGCTTAGCAGATAACCTCAACGATCTCCGGGCCCAGGTCTCCGCGAACCAAAAGGGTATCTCCCTCATCGAGGGCTTGATACAAGAATATGGTGAAGAAACAGTGCAATTCTATATGGTGAACATTCAACATAACGCTGAGCTCTGCGTCCGACAGCTGCTCAAGCACGTTTACAAGAGGTTTGAGGGAAGAGACTTGACTGCGATAGATTACATGGATGACGGGTCCCCGATTCAATTACGCGTTACTATCGATCCAGAGAAAGGAGAAGCGGACTTTGACTTTAAAGGTACAGGCCCCCAAGTCTACGCCAATATCAACGCACCAGAAGCCATTACCTTCAGCGCCATAATATACTGTCTACGCTGTCTCATATCGGAAGATATCCCGCTGAATCAGGGCTGCCTAAAACCAATCACTGTCAGGATTCCTCCCAAATCGCTCCTATCGCCCTCGGAAGGAGCCGCCGTAGTAGGCGGCAACGTACTGACTAGTCAGCGGGTCACGGATGTCATCTTTAAGGCCTTCCAGGCGTGCGCGGCCAGCCAGGGAGACTGCAACAATTTGACCTTCGGCTTCGGCGGCAACGTCTCGGGCCAGAAGGAGGTCAAGGGTTTCGGCTACTACGAGACGATTGCGGGCGGCAGCGGCGCGGGCCCCGATTGGGAGGGTACCAGCGGCGTCCACACGCACATGACGAACACGCGCATCACAGACTCCGAGATCTTCGAGCGCCGTTACCCCGTGCTTCTGCGCCAGTTCTCCATCCGCCAGGGCTCAGGTGGCAACGGCCAGCACCGCGGAGGCGACGGCGTGATCCGCGACATCGAGTTCCGGATCCCGATGCAGGTGTCAATCCTTAGCGAGCGCCGGGTATACCACCCGTACGGCCTCGCGGGCGGCGAGGACGCCCAATGCGGGCTAAACATCTGGGTCCGCCGCGTGCAGAAGACGAACCCGGAGAAAGACCTAGCGGCGCAGGGCGAGCACCTGCAGCAGCCAAGTGACGTCGACTACGAGGAGCGTTACATCAACTTGGGCGCTAAGAACAGCTCTCCCATGAAACCTGGTGATCGCATCATCATCAACACGCCCGGCGGAGGGGGCTGGGGTAAGGTCGGGGAGGAGAAGGTCAAGAGAGAGCGGAAGGACCATACCGAGGCCTGGAGAAAGGGGAGCCACGCCGCTCGTGAAGACGTTGCTTTACAGGTGTAGGGTCACCTGAGGAGGACTCTGATAAAAGAGGGGGTTGGAAATAAAATGTTCTTTTCTTCGTACATATCAAGGGGGAGTGCGTGTATCATAATGTCTCTGAAGCAATATCTCAACCCATATGAATCTCCGAATCCTAGAAAACCTTGTCCGTTCACATACTACTGCCGCGGTAACATGAAATTACTTACCTACCTAATCATACAAGCTCTCGTATAATAACAGAATGGGACTCTATCGTGCTCTACCTGAAACGTCGTCGTTCATCCCCATCGGCACAGCTATTCAAATTAGGAAGGTTGAGTTACAAGATGAGAGCGTTTAATGATGCTTAGAAACAGGCGGCCTATCAGACGGTCCCGTTGCCTCTGACGGATCTGATCAGCCCAACCCAACGACCCGGGACCAGCTACGGAGGAACGAGACGCGTGGCAAGCGGCGGTCCCGATTTTGGTTGGTGGCGCGGAGATTTGTTAATCAGTGAGTGCTCGGGAAAGGGGGGGAAGGTTGGGGGCTAGGTGCCTAGGTAGGTAATCGGAATACGGTAGCAGTAAACGCCTCTTATGATGATGTAGGTGGTGTAAGCCACGATTGGCCCCCAATCCCGGCCAGTTGGTAATTCGCTCGCAGCTTCCCACGGCACACGGAGATTTTATGCCAAGTAGGTCGTTGATCTAGAACTTTAGCTCGCGTGCTCGACATTTGGAGTGCCCGAGGCATGTAACCATCTTACACATGGATCTTGCTCTCCCCTTTAGGTAGGTCTCTTCGAAACACAAACTCTCTTCTCAGCCGAGGTCCTTCTCGAAGCGGGCACCGGAGAATTTATCAGCTTCGGTCTCTGAAATTGGGCGTCCAATCTGATAATCCGGACGTTGCTACAGGCTCGTTCGAGCCCGACGCAGAACCCGGGATCTACTAGACTACTCGGATCGGCTAGACTATTAGAGCAAGTTCTCGCGAGCAGCTATCCTAGCTCTTAGGACTATGTAGGTAGCTAGTAGCCACATTTAGAGGGATCCAATTAGCTAAGATTGCGGCTCAAATGCCATGTAAAGGAGGGTATAGCGACCTCACCGGTATTTCTCGGTGGGTATCCTAACTCGATGTAGGCCCCTTGCGTCAAAGCTGAGGACAGTGCGAGCCTCATCGCTTTTGATAGCACAGATACAAGTGAGAGACTTGAGGTGAGTTAGCAGGGAATTGCGAAAAGAAGATATGTTATCCCCGGTCATGGGTAAGCAGAGATATGTAAAGTCATAGACTGGATAGCTTTGTAAGAATAACCCCTGCTCACGATTTGAAGTCCTAATATGCTGATAGATGCAAACGTACAACGTCGTCCGAGTCGGTAGCAAGAGCTTAGTAGGTTGGCAGTGTATCTTCGTCACAAGTTGACTTCGGCAATAACTTCTAGAGGACGTCTCGCCTAGACATTGCCGTCGCATGGTTAAGTTAAATACATAGATAGTACCTAAGGTACTCTTTAGGAGAAAATGTCGAGAGATAAAAGATAGCGTACACAACGTGTCACTGTCTTGATTCCCAAGGAAGATACCTACATATATAGATATCCGAGCCCCATACATTTATTGTCGGTTTAGATGATAGAAGCCTTTTGATGCTTCGTGAAGGAACATATCAAAAAACATGAAATTATGTCTTAACAAAGCGGGCTATTCCGACGAATAAATACCGCATTTTAGGGGCGAAAAAGTAAAGACGATTAAGAGTAAAGGTAAAAATGCTAGAGTATCTACATACCTAGTAGTATATATAAAAGCGACGGGATCACTGTAACTGATTCCGGAACGGATCCCGATCATGAGCCCGGGCCGGGCTTGATCCCGTCGATCTCCGGCGGCAATTCCATTGCCGAGACCAATGCGAAAGGCAAGGATGGAAGTCCGGCTCGGTACTCACTGGTTAAACGGTCATACTACAGCTATTTTTGTTATTATGCAGTGCTATGTTAGCTTTTGATTGGATCAAAAAGTGAGTGAATACCGGGAGCTGAAAAGATGATGATGAAAGAAGCTTAAATCTTGGGTGAATGCCGAATGAGTCAGTGATCTTGTAGCACAGAAGGCCCGCTGAAACCCCCGCTAACCGTAGCTAGTGGGGTTCGCGGGTATCGCGGGGCAAGATCCATACAGCAGTCAGGATAGCGTCTGACGGGAATCCACAACGGAGCAGGAACTTTCCAACTTTGGAACAATTACCACACACGCAACTACCAAACTTCCACTAGCTCGTCACTTATCTTTGACAATCTTCATCGAAGAGGAACTATATAAACCGAGAATAAACCAAGAATCTACCCTACTCTTATCTATCCTTTCTATTGATCTTCTCACCTGCCTAACCATTTAGGCACCTATTTGACGTACCCGGTTGTACATATAGTAGGTATCGTAAAAACCCCTATTCTTACCTCATATCTTAATTTGGAAAATCAACATCCGTACAAGAAATGGACTTTGGATCTTATACAGATGAAGAATGGGCGGAAGTCTCAGAAGAGATCCCTAAAGAGACCGACCCTTTCATGCAAAAGTATATACAAGGTCGAGAAGCGCTAATAGTGCAAGAGGATAAGAAACGTAGCGGTTTGTATACACTAAGCCAACGCCCCTTTTTACTCACTCACTGACACGAATGACGCAAACCTTAGATGCATCATTTAAACAGAGCCTCTCTCCTATTGCCAAGCGCGCCTGTGATATCGTGGCACGCATCCGGGACGAGGAGAAGAGAACGGTATGGACACCACAGCTGGAGGACTCGCTTGCTCAGGAGGCTGAAATGACCGTCCATCCGGGCATGATGTTCTCTCTGTCTAAGGAAAGGATGGAGAGCACTAAGCTGTGGAGTATCGTGCGCCGAATGCCCAAGGGCGCGCTTCTGCACGCGCACATGGATGCCATGGTCGACTTCGAGTACTTATTAGGCGTACTCTTCGAAACTCCGGGGATGCATTTAGCAGCCGACCAGCCACTCACAACAGCTGGGGCGAGGGAAGAAGCTAAATTGAATTTTCGCTTCTTTAGCAAACCACGCACTGACGGTAGCATATGGAGTCACGATTACAAAGAGGGGACGCATATCCTTCTAACACAGGTTGCGGATACATTTCCAGAGGGCGGCAAGGCCGGTTTCCTGGAATGGCTGTATGGACGATGCACCATCTCGCGGACGGATGCTGTCTCTCAGCACCATGGCGTCGACCACATATGGCAAAAGTTCTACAAGTGCTTCCGGGTCGTCGGTTCTATGATACACTACGAGCCTATCTTCCGCAAGTTCTTACAGCGACTCATGAGCCTGTTGAAGGCGGACGGTATCAATTGGTGCGAAATAAGGTTCTCGTGGGCCCTAGACTACTACGTACAGAACAGCGAGACAGCCGAGACGGACTACAGCGCCATGATGACCGTCATAGATGAGGAAGTTGCGCGGTTTCAGGCATCCGAGGAAGGAATGGGGTTTTGGGGAATCCGGATTATCTGGTCTGCGTTGCGGTTTCTCTCTACGCGTGATATCGTACAGAACATGGAGCAGTGTATTACGACCAAAATGACGCACCCGCATTTGATTGCTGGTTATGATCTAGTAGGTCAAGAAGACGGCGGGCGGCCTTTGCGCGACTTGCTCCCGGAACTCTTTTGGTTTCGCAAACAATGTGCTGAAGAGGGTATTAATATCCCTTTTTTCTTTCATGCCGGGGAGTGTCTCGGATCCGGCAGCGATACCGACCACAACTTATACGATGCCGTGCTTCTAGGTACAAGGCGTATCGGTCACGGCTTTAGCTTATACAAGCATCCGCTACTCATCGACCTTGTCAAAGAGAAAAAGATCTTAGTAGAGAGTTGTCCTATCTCTAACGAGGTTCTCCGTCTCTGCAGCTCCGTCATGAGCCATCCTCTGCCCGCGCTTTTAGCATGCGGCGTGGCTTGTTCCCTGAATAACGACGACCCTGCCATGCTCGGTCAGGACACTGCAGGGTCGACGCACGATTTCTGGCAGGCCTTGCAGGGCTGGGAAAACCTGGGGTTGGCGGGGCTAGGTAGCCTCGCCGAGAATAGCATCCGCTGGGCAGCATTCGAGGACCAGACGGCCGAGGAATGGGGCAGGGATATCAGGGAAGCGAGCACGGGAAGCGGCATCAAGGCGCAGAGACTAAAGCAGTGGGAAGTCGAGTGGGAGAAATTCTGCCTGTGGGTCGTTGACGAATTCGGTGACGACTAAAGGGAAAAGAAGAAAAAAAAGAAAAACAAAAAGGAGGGGAGATGTAAGCGTGAGGGGAGGGTCCTGTAGGTAGGTTGCCTTAAAACAATGGCGGAGGCACACACCGCACTACGCCCTCTTAACGGGTCGAAGCCCATGTCCCCGTGATACCATGGGGGACCTACCCACGGGCCACACCCCCCCGGGCCACCCCGTTTCTCACCAAAACACACACTTTTCAAATATTTATATCTAAATTAATTAAAGTTTAATAATTATAAAATTAATATTAATAAATAACGTTTTAAAAGTTTAATTTATAAATTTAATTAATGGTTTAATTATTTTTTTTAAACGTATATAAATTAATATTATAAAAATTTTATTTATTTTTATATTATTTATTTTAAACTTTTTTTTATTATTTTCGTTATTTTTATTTAAATTTTAATTTAAAATTATTTAATTTATTATAAAAACTTTTTTAAACGTTTTAAATTTTTTATTAAATATTTTATAAATTATTAAAAATTTAACGTTTAAATTAAAAAATTTTTTTTTTTTTTTAAATTTTATTTTTTTAAATTAAAACTTTAAAAATTTAATTTTTAATTTTTATAATATTAATTTTAATTTAACGTTTATAAAAATTTACGTTATTAATTTAAAAATTATTTAAATAATAAAAAATTTAATTATTTTTAAAAATTTTATTTTATTAATTATAATAAAAAATTATAAATAATATTTTAAATTAATTAATTTTTTATTTTTAAAAAATATAAATATTAAATTTTCTTTATTTTTTTAAATTTTAAAATATATTAAAGTTTTAAATTTATTAATTAATTAATTTTTTATTATTTTAAATTTAATTTAAATATTTTTAAAAATTAATTTTTTTTTTTTAATTTTATTATAATATTTAATAAAATTAAATTTATTAATAAAAATTACATTAATAAAATTATTTAAATTAAATAAATATTTTTAATAAAATGTTTTTATAATATTAAAAAAATTATTATTAAAAAATTATAACCCGTAAAACGTATATATAAAAAAATAATAAAATAAAATATTATTAAAATAATATATAATTATAAATTCATTTTAATATATAAAAAAATTAATTATATTAATTTATTAAAAATTAAAAAAAAATTAAAAAAATATAAAATAAAATTAAATTTATAAAAAAAAAATTAAATTTATTATTATATAATTTTTATATTTATTAAATATTAATAAAATTTTATTTATAAAATTAAAACGAATTTTATTAAATTATAATATAAAATAATTAATAAATTATTTTATTATAATTTTATTATTTATTTAATTTTTTTTTAACGTAATAAAATATTAATTAATATATTTTATAAATTTTTTTTTAAATTAATTTATTTATAAATTTTTATTTTTAAAAATAATTTTAAATTTAAATATTTTTTTAATAATATTAATATATTTAATAAAAAAAATTTACGAATAATTTTATAAATTTTTTAAAAAAATTTTAACGGTTTTAAAAAATTTTATAATTAAATTATTAAACTTTATAATGTTTATATTAAATTAATTAATTAATTAAATTTAAATTAAAAACTTATTATAATTTATTATAATTTTATTTTTATTAAAATTAAAAATAAATTTAAAAAAAATAAAACCGAATTTTTTTTTTTTTACGTTAAAATATTAATATATAATTTTAAAAATAAACCCGTTAAAACATTTAATTTTAATTTTATAATTAACCTTAATTTAAATTTTTTCGTATTAATATATAAATTTTTTAATTTAATTTTTTTTAATAAAAAAATTTTAACCGTTAATTTATATATAATATTAAATTATAATTTATATTATAAAATATAAAAAAATAAATTTTATATATTTTTATATTATAATTTAATTAATTATTTTAATTTTTTATTTAAAAATTAATTTAAAAAAAATATAAGTTTTTATAAAAAAAACCGCTTTATTATTTATACGAATAATATTATATAAAAAATATTATATTTTAAAATAATTATACGAATAAATAAATTATTTTTAATAATTTTAAATATAACGTTAAAAACGTTTTTTTTAATATAATTAATTATATTAATATTTAATTAATTAAATTAATTTTAATAATATAACGTTAAATTATAAATTAAAAAGTTTATAAAATTTAAAAACTTTAAAAACTTTTATTTTAATTGTTATTTTATTATTTAATAATTTTATTAAAACTTTATTAATAAAATTAAAAAAAATAATATTAAGTAAATTATTTTTAAAACCATGGATACGTAAAAGAATTATTAAAAAAGCTTTAATATTCGTTAAGAACGGTATAAATAAAATTAAAATATTTTAATAAGAAATAAAATGGCTTAAGGGGGTATAGTTTATAAATGGGTTTTTTATAATATTATTATTAAAATTAAATAATATAAATTAAAAGATCTCAAGGGGGGGGAAAGGCTTTAATAAACTTAAAGTTTATTATTTAATATTAAAAACTTTAATTAAATATTAAAAAAAACTTATGTAATTTTTAAAGTTAATCGTTTAAATATTTACTTAATACGTAAAAGGAATTAAAAGTTATAATAAAATAATATACATTATTAAATAAAAGGGGTATTTAATAATAATTATAATAATAATTTTTAAAGGTAAATATAATATTAACCCACGCGTTAATAATTAAACCATTTAAAATAAATATAATATTAAAAGGAATTAATTACAATGCGTAATAATTATATATAATTAATAATAATATTATAATTAATTATAATATTATTATAATTATTATTATTTTAATATAAAAAAATTCTTTTAAATTAAATCATTAACTTAATATTATTTTATAATTTAATAATATTATTATTAAAAAAATATTTTTATAAATAAAGTTTATTACATTATAAAAATACTTATTAACATTAATAATAATATTAATAACATTATTCTTTTTATTTATAATATAATTTTATTATATAAAATAATTTTATATATACTATAATTTTTTATAAAATATAATTATTTATTTAAATATAATTTTAAATTAATTATAATTTTTATTTTAATATAATTTTTATTAAAATAATATTATAATTATTAAATATTTTAATAAAAAAATAACGATCTTAAAATTAATTATATTATTTATTTTAATAATATTATAAGGTTTAATTATAATATTAATATTAATACCATTATTAAATTTAATTATAATGTTAATAATGTTATAATTATTAAAGTTAATTATTATATTATTTTAAATATTATTATTTAAAATTAAAATTAAAGTTAATTTAAAAAAATCATTCACGGTAATTATAATAATTAAAAAAAAAACCGTTTCCACTTAAAATACATTTTATTATATTATTATTATAATTAATAACATATTTAATTAAAATATTTTAATATTAAATAACATTATATTTATAATATAATTAATTTATATATGTTATAATTAATTTTTTCGTATATTAATTAATTTAAAAATATAATATATAAATTATTTATATTCGTCCGTGTAATATTAATTAAATATATAATTTATTTTAAAGTTAAAAATATTTAATCTTAATTAATAATTATATAACATTAAAGCCATTTATTTTTTAAATATTTATTAATTAATTTAATTATTAAAATAAAGTTAAAAAATTAAAATATATACTTTAATTAACTTAAATAAAAAACTTAACATTTATTATAAAATTTATATATATATATTAATAATTAACTTCCGCTTAACACATAATATAAATAATATAATAAATATATATATACCTTATAAAATACATTATATTTAAACATAATAACTAATATAAAACTTATATAAAATTATCGTAAAATTATTTATTAATATATATTTATTATATTTAATTAAAATTAAAAACCATATATTTATAAAATACTTAATAATAATCGTAAATTTTAAACCGTTTATATAATAAATTAAATTAATAATAATATAAATTTAATTTTTATAAATAAAAATAACTCATTAAATTATATAATAAATTATTATTAAAAATAAAATAATATTATTATTAATTAAATATAAATATAATATATAAATTAATATATTAATTATTCGTAATTATAATTAATAAGTTTAATATTATTAAAATTAAATTAATAAAATCGTTAATTTAATATATAAAAATAAAAAAACTAATTTATTTAAAAAACTTATATTTAAAATAAACACATTTTTAAAATTAATTAAATAATTAAAAAAAATAAAAAAAAATATATAAATAAAAAAAAAATATAATATAAATAATATTATATTAAAGAAAAATAAAAAGCAAAGAAATTTTAAATAATAACGTTATTAATTATAATAATATAATAATAATATTAATAATATTTACGAAATATAAAAACTTAATTAAAATAATTTAATATATTTATTATTTAATTACGATAATATATTTTTAGGAAATATAAAGTAAATAAATGTAATAATAAAATAAATTATAAATATTAATCTTTCGTTAATAAAATTCTTTTAATAAAATTAATTAAAAATAAAATATTAAAAATTAAAATTAAAAAAAATAAGAAATAAAAAATAAAAAATAAGGAAAAGAATATTAAAATTTATTAATAATTTAAGTTTAATAAAAATTACGTTTTTTATTTATAAAAAAATTTACGTAATTTTTAAAATTATTATAATTATTTATATTAATATTTAAAAATAACTTTTATTTAACTTTATTAAAAATTATAACTATTATATTATATAATATAATTATTAAACATTTATTTATTTATTAAACATTAATTATAATGTAAAAAATTATTTTTATTAACATTTTTAAATATAAATTTAAAGTAATAATAAAAATAAGAAATTAAATTTATATATAACTACATTATAATATATTTATAATATTAAAAGTAAAATTAAATTTAAATTTATATATAATTATATTATAATATATTAATAATATTAAAATAAAAATTATCCGTTATTTATTTTATTAATTATTAAAAATATAATTAAAATATTTTTCATGTTTATAATAATATTATAACTTATAATTAATAAATATAAATTAAGTATAAATAAAATATAATTAAAATTTATATAATCGTATACGAAAAAAAATAATGTTACGATTTTAAACGGTGTTAATTATTAAACGTAAAAACGTTTATTTATTTTCGTTAAAGTTTCGAAATTTTCGTTTTTTTAATTAACTTTTCGTAGTCGGTTTCACCGAATAAAAAATATTAATATTTTTTTTTTTAATTTAATTACTTTCCATTTTTTAAAACACGTAA